TGGAGCATGACCTGAGAGTGGGGTGTGCATCAAGCAGACCTGAATGTCTTCACTGTATTTGCCACAATTCTGTGTTGATCCTGCAACTGTTGTTTAATCTCTCTGAGCCCATTTCTTCTTCCATAAAATAAGGACAAAAAAATGCCTCGCAGAGTGTTAGGAAAAATAAGTCATGTCCAGCACCTCAGAGATAGAAGCTGTTGGGAAATTGACAGTTATGATGTAGAACACAGTCAGGGCTTAGAAATCAGGCAAACGTAGGTTCAGATCTCTTTCTCCTCTAATGAGCTGCATCTCTTTAAAAAGATATTGAATTAGAAGGCTCCATTCCCTAGTACTCAGGAAGTTGTTCATCTCTCAGGCCTACCAAAATGGAGAGCCACATGCAGTATCATGACTATCTACCTCTATGCCTGATGCAGAGAGGGGCTAAATGGACTGTTTGTATACAAAGCTAAAATAACAGTAGAGTATACTGTGTGATACTGTTCCCTTTCCTGAGGCATGTCACAACATGTTGCAGCTGCTCACCCAGAGCACTGCATACTAAGTTATAGTGGGGTCACATTATCCTACTAAGCCTATAACCATACAAGATTAGTAGAGCAGTTATGAACTAAGTACACAGTATCCAAAGCACACTCTCTCCATATTCATTAATTCATTCATAAATCATTGAGCTCCTGTTATACAGAAAGCCCCGGATTAGCGGTTCCTATAATAATTGTACAGTTTCAGATCACTTTCCTAATCTTAAGGAGCAAGAAAACTGGATGGAGGACAAATCCACCAATCATCTTAGACTGTATGAAGTACTCTGTGTGGATTGTGAGCTGCATAGATAGAACAAGCTCAGGTGAAGGCTGAGGGCAAAAAGGGGGAGACAATTCAAGAGAAGAAACAGTAGTAAGGACAAAAAGCAACAGGCACGTTAGAGGAAAGTGAGTCAAAAGTCCTAACTTGCACAATATGGACACTGGGTTGTCGTATTGTGGAAAGAACCAAGGAGGCAAGTCAGGGAAAGGGGCATGATTTGGTCAGATTTGTTTTGCATTTCACAGAAATCCCCCTGCCGGAGCAGACCACATGGAGTCTGCACCAGGTAGGGAGTCACTGGGGAGGTAAGCAGGTATAACTGTCTGGCTGAGAGATGCTGAATGCAGACTGTCAACAAATCAAGGGTCCCCTGACAGTCTTTCCCAGTCCAAAAGCATTCCTGTGTCAGCCAAGATTCCAGCATTACTGGAGGGAGACTAAAATGCATTTTAGTAGGTAAACTTTAAAACACAACCCCAGAGGGTAGTAGTGCCTTGCCTGTGTTGAGAACCACTGTGTGGGCAGGAGAGCCATGGAAATGATCTCTCAAACAGATACATCAAAGCGGGACTGGAAACAGACATGATGGAAAGCAGGGAAATCAACAGGAACAAGTCATGTTAGGGGTGTGAACTTAAGTAAATGTCAAACATTCTCTTGGCTTCATGCAGATTGAAAGTGAGAGGTAATAAATGAGAATACTTAGAATATAACCATCAGTATATTAACATAAATGTGAATGCTACTAACCGCTGTGCAACATTCATGGGTACTAGTCTCCTTTTGGAGTTATGGCTACTGTAAAAATGTCAAATTTTGGTAGGGGCAGAATTTTCTGGATTGCATGGAGCTATGACACCCATGAACTCCTTCCCTGAAACTGCAGGTGTGTTTGCAACATGGTTCTCTTGAGATCTGCTCTAAGTTTCTGATAGAACCTTTTTCCCATATGCATGAGACAACAGGAACGTGAATAAGAGCAGTGGCATCTGGAGGGGAAAGCAGGTGGTGTCTGAGAGCTGTTTACCAGGCACAGCCCTCTACATTTCACGAGTCTACCTGGGAGTTGAGATGAAGAAGGAGGGCCTACTTTCTGACTTGGGCCACCAAGTAGATTGTGATGCCATTAACCCAACCCGAGGACATTCTCATCAAGAGGAGAACCAGCCAGATTGCAGAGAAAAAAGCCCATTTCTTTGGTTGAGGTTGGGCTAATGCGCCCTCTGGCACTGTGCACAGAGCTGTCTGGAAGGCACCTAGGCCGGTTCCTAGAACAAACTCAGCCTCATAGACAGGAGTCATCAGTATCTGAGAAATAGCGAAATCTGTAAAATTTGGCAAGAGGTGTCCATTGCTGCAGAGACACCAAGGAGAAAAGGGCTGGAAAAGGAGGAATGTCCATCAGGTGGCCTCTAGTGACCATTAGGAGAGCAGTTACAGCAGAAGGTAGTGGGGAAGTTGAGATATTTCCACATAGCTCTGGGTTATAAGAGCAAATGGGACTTGGCAAAGTGAAGATAATTCAAACTGATTATTCTTTCAAGAAGTTTTGTGGTATCAGGAAAGAGACCAAGACACTAGTTTTGCTCTGCACTTTCTATGTCATCACACTGTTGCTCAAACACAAGCTTCTGACCCTAAATGTTGCTTGATTTCCAAGGTCTTCCATAAATGCTTTTATTGGACTCAACAAGCCTTATTTCTCTCTGTTCTTATCCAGTTCTCTGTCCAATCCAGCCACTCTCCTGCTCCGCTTTGCACAGTGTGGTTTCATCCAGAAGGAACTCTGATCCTTTGGTCTCTTTTACTTCCCTACCCTTGAGCAGCCTCTACCTTCTATATTGACAGCCAGCTATTTCCTCCCATGTAAGACTGTAATTCAATACTGTATCAATGGTTTTTTCACACTTACTGTTCTATTCCTAACCTTGAGTCACTTCCACAATACAAAAAAGAGTGAAAGCATGATTAACATACTTCTCACAAAATTAGTAAAATTTTCCAATGAACATTTTCAATCAACAATTTTAAGGGTACCTTTAAAGGTAGCTTCAAGCATCAATTTCATCAATATAGCAATTTCCAGTGACTTCAGTCTCATATATATAAAAATGCCCTATATTAAATAAGAATTAGTAGAATACAACAGCATTCATCAAAGTATTCCTTAAAATGTAAATGCAATTAAAACATAAAGTGGTTTCCCTTTTTATTTAAAAAAAACTCATGTTAACTGCATTTCTATTTGGCTAATCAGAAAATTCACAGAATAAGGAAAAGTGAAGCATCCTCTAATAATTGTTGGCAAGTGTAAGGTCCTGAATTCAATCCTCAGTACCAAAATAATAATAATAATAATAATAATAATAATAATAATAATAATGTGTCTAGACACTTAGGGACAAAACTTGCCAGCCTCTTGCCACCAGCCACGGAAATCCACATATAGAAAAGAAAAGCCCTAAATTTCTACCTCCCTTACCCATTACTGTTCAGGGTCTGTTACTCAAGGGATTTGGAAGTGGAGGAAGACAGCAGGAGAACGGTACTGCACGTACATAGAATGCCCTTCTGCCTGCCCTTCCTCTGCAGGAGACCTGACATGCTAAAGACCTAGCATCAAATTCAAGTTACATCTTTTATCACCAAACGAGACTTTGGGCAGGTAAACTGGTATCCTAAGGATTGTTTTTTCCTACCTGTAAAATGTAGAAAATAAAACTGACTTATTCACAGATTTTTATAAAATGTAAAGGCAACAATACATGAAGAGTCCATTGGAAGCTTTCAAGGCTCTGCATAGCGAGTTGTAACCAGCCAGGACTTCTCATCTGGGGAAACAGTAGTCCCACAAGCGGGTAGTCTTTTCAACTTTTAGGAGTATGATTCCTAAAACTGGCATCAAGTTGACTTTACTCCAGCACTATCACCTCAACAACAAAAATTTGAGTCACGATACTAAATTGCAGATGTAAGAAAAAGTTGGCCTCTATATCCCAACAGTTCAGCAAAGCTTCTATTAAGATTTTCCACCAGGCTTTATAGTATCTATTATCTAGTATGATAAAGAGTAATCCTACTGGACTTCTTTCATTATTTACTCTCCAGTGATATTTACATTAACCCGTTGGTCCAAGATGAAAAAGATTGGTTGATTGATTGATTGATTGATTGATTGATTGATTTTTGGTCTTTTCTGAGGCAGGGTTTTGCTATATGGTTCACGCTGGCCTTCAACTCACTTTATAGCCCAAACTTGAATGTGAGGCAATCCTCCTACATCAGCCTCCCAAGCGCTGGGATTACAAGTGTGCACCATCACACCCAGCAAAAAGTCAAGTTTATAAAGTTGATAGCCTCTTTATCAAAAATGAGATATTCTGATTTAACCACTGGTCAATTTCTTTTGCAGCCACAAATGAGGCAGAAAAAGTAGGAACAAATCGGTTCTCCATGTGCTTTCCACATTGCTCAGGCTGCCCTACAATTTACATCAAAAACATCTAACTTTTAGTCATGTGCTTCATAAAGACGATTCTGTCTAACAGGTCACACACAAGACAAGGGCCCCATGGGATTATACCGCTTAGTGACGCCATAGCTGTCTCATGTGAGTCTGTTCTATGATGCTCACACAGCCACAAAATCACTGTAACGATGTATTTCTTAGACCATATCCCTGTCATTAACTGGTTTGTGACCATACTTCTGGCTGTGGATGATAAGTGAGAGTACAGCAAGTCGTTCAAGAGCAATTTAAGTTCTTTTGCCTCTTCTCCTACAGCCTTTCAAGGTCCCACGTAGGATGGCAACTCCACTGGACAAGGGGAGACTGAAACTGAGCCAGTGATAGAGAAGGGCTGTCATCAGACTGTGTGAATGAGGGAAAAAAATTTTTACCTGTTAAAGACACCACAATTTGGGAATTTATTAATTACTGCAGCTTGGCCTGGCTAGTAAGAGATAAAGACCCTCAAAGAAAGAAATGCTCTACAGATTTACTAATTAGATGGAATCCTCAAGAATGTAGAAGTCTGTTGACGAAGGAGAAATGAAGTGGCAGGGAGCTGGTGTTTGAACACACCATAGCAACCGCAAAATCTTTTGTACTAGGAAACACACGCATGCTGGCACAGACCGCTATTCTAACCGCAAAGATCACCCTATGCCAAACAGAAGCGCACCTCAGTAAGATCTCCTTTGGTATCTGTGCTGATATTTCATATGCTTCTTTCACCTGTCGGTCCACTTATCTATAACAAAAAATAAGAGTAATGAGGAAGTCTTCCTGCATTACCACCCCTCGTCACTGTCTCCATTTACCTACTAAATAACCAAAACTTTCTAGACTATAGTGTCCTGATGTCTATTATTTTACTTTAAGAAAATAATAGTTGAACAACTACTAGGTGCTGAGCATTGTTGTCAGTGCTGAAATACATCAGTGAGCAAAACAACACAGGCATCTCTGCTGTCTGAAATTTATATTCTAAGAGGCAGAGGAGAGATAGATGGTAAATAAATGGGTAAATAAGTAAAACTTAGAAAATGTACTTATCATGGAAATAAAACCAAGACACTGAGTGCCAGGCATGAGGATAGGAAATGGTATTTGTAAACAGGATGGTCAAGTGGCCTCCCTGAGAAGGTAACATTAAGCAATTATTGGAAGGAGGTGAGAAAGTAAGGATGTTGATATCTCACTCAAATATCAACAAGTGAAATTTGCCCCGACAGAGGAAACAGCAAGTGCAAATACCCTGAGACAGAAGCACGTCTACCATGCTCTAGAACTGTGCTGTCCAAGCCAGTAAGAAGCCACATATGACTACTTGAATTTAAGTGGAACTTAACTGGAACTTAAGTGGAATTAAAAATTCAGTTCCACCCATGTACATGTGTCACATTTAAAGGATCCAATAGCCAGTATTCTAATATACTGTACAAATAGAGAACTCATCCATCACCATTGCATATTCCATTGTACAGCATTGCTCTAGAAAGAGCAAAAAGCCCAATATTCCCAGAGTGAACTGAACTGAGGGTAACAGACGGTACAGAGATTGTAGGAGCACAATTCTATTGGATTTTGAAGGCCCCTGAAGGAATGTTGGCTTTTTCTGGAGGATTTTGCCAGAGGAGTATCTTGATCTGACTTGATATTTAGAAGAGTTACTTTGAATTAGTTTTGTAATAATCAAGATGACAGATGGCCAAAGGTGGAAAGGGATGGGCGTAGCAATGAAAGTGGCAAAAAGTGTTCAGCTTCCACCTGAATTTTGAGGTTGCAACCACGCTGGTAAACTAGATGCGATTTACATCATAAAGAAGACATCAAGTTAGGAAGGTGTGTGACTCGGACATAGGAGAGACTAAATTAACTTTTAGACTGATTTGACTTTGAGATGACAATAGTACTCACTATCAAAAATGTCCAGTGGGCAACCAGACAAATGAGAGCTGAGAATACCACCCCTGAACACAGACATAAGATTCATGAGCACACGAGAAGAGACAAAGCAGATGTGGAGGGTGAAGGGAATGGTGGAGGCTGAAGAATGCCCACCGGATGTGAGAAAGTTCTCATCAGCACAGAGTGGCAAAGGGCAAAGCCCTTAAGGAAAACAGAGCAACAGGATGTAACTGTCACAGGAAAGTAATAAACTATGGCATTTCTCGCTGCTTAAAGGAGGTTTCTAAAACAACTATTTAATTTGTTTCAGCCAGCGCTGGTGTCACTGATGTTAATTTTTTTTTTAATCGGTACCGGGGATCGAACTCACGACCGCCTGCTTGCAAAGCAGGTGCTTATGCCGCTGAGCTAAATCCCCAGCCCCCAATGTTTAATTTTTTTAATTTAGAGTTAAGTCATAGGACGTATTTTTAAAAAGATAAATACACGTGTTATTGTTTTCAACCTTCTGATACTGGGTAATAAACAGGTATTTTTAGAAGTGGTGGACGAAATCCAAGTCTTTATCATAAAGAGGTAATATTTAATTTTCCTGTTGTTTTGTTTTGTTGCAGCACTAGGAGTCAAATCCCCAGGACCTCATACATGCTAGGCACTGACTTACAAAGAGAACCACCAGACACTAGAAGGAAACCTAAAGAAAAAGCCCTACCTGTTCTTTAAGCCCGTTCTACTTCAGGAGACCCGATTAAAGAGAAGGCCAAGGGACTCACGATAGAGAGGAAACAAGTCGATCGACACTTAAAAACCTGAGATCCGAAAAGGAACTTTACTTAGCACTTAGTCCAATCCTCTTACTGAACAGATCAGCAAGATTAAGTAAATTTCTACAAATTAGGACTCAGGGAGGGGGTTTAATTTCCACTTCACATCTCTTTCTACCGGGTGTCTCTGTTATATTAAGAGCAAGAACCTCTTACTCGAGGTAGACCAATTCAGGGCAAATCCAACAGAAATTCTACTTCCTGGAAACGAGGTTTTACACAGAGCCAGCATGGAGAGTAGGCGTGAGATTTGAAGATCGTCGATGACAAAACATTGACTTCTTACAAAAGCCTTGACAACAGGCCTCCTGAAATCTGTTTTGGTGTTAAACCTCTGCTTTAATTGCTGTGCTGACTGACCAGCACGTAGATGAAATGATTAAAGCTAATGACTATCGGTTTCACTAACTTCTGGGTAATAATTCCTTGGGCGGATGTTTATATTAGTCCATTTTGTTACACCTCCTTGGTTCTTCAGAGTACGAGCCTTGCAGAAACACAGAAGAATGGGCGTATAACAATTACAGTAATAATAATCAGGGAGGGAGGTCATATGGATTGCCTGGCAGGAGAGACCCAAGAAAGCCACAGGCAGGCCTAGACCCTGCATAAGCGGTCGCTAGGGCCAGCAGAGTCCTTGGTTACCGCTCTCCTTTGGCTGCCAGGCACGCTAACTCTGCAAAAAGACACCGGCGGACGCGTGCCCGTCGGTCCCACGATCCCGGGGGGAGGCCGAGGGTCCTATTAGGTACCAAAAGCGCCGGAGCTGTGCAAAGCGGCCTCCCAGCCTCCAGCCCCAAGTCCCCCAGCAGAGGGCCGCAGGGGGAACCGAGGCAGGGCGCGCCCCGCGGGGCGGCATCGGAGGGATCCCCCGCTCTGACTCACGTTGTAGTTCTTCGCCCAGCACTCCAGCTGTTCCTGCAACCGTCGTAAAGGTTCGTTCGCGGTCAGCCTCCTCAGGATGTCCGCCATAGCGGGGTTCTCCGCGCTCCCCGCTTGGGGAGACGGAGCCCTGGTGGTGCGGCGGGAAAGCGGGCGCCTCGGGGCTCAGAGCCAGGCGGCTGCCTCCATCCTCCCCCTCGCGGCGGGCCGGGCAGCGTTCTCCAAGCCGAGGGGGAGGCACCCTGGGCCCAGGGCAGCGCCGCGTGCGCCGCCCGGCTTGCTGTCTCGGCTCCCGGCCGCGGCGCCGGGCCCCGGCCATAAATACCCTGCGATTATTAAACAAACCTTGACGTGGCGGCGGCTGCCAGGGACGCGCGGCCAGTGTCGGGGCAACGCGGGCCCCGCCCCCGCCCCGCGGCCCAGCCCGCGCCATGCCGCTGCCCCTGCTCCTGCTGCTTCTCTTCCTCCTGCTCCTTCTCCTGCTGCTGCTGGCCGAGGGCGAGGGCTCCGGGGCCACCCGCACCGCGGGCTGTGCCGAGAGATCCAGGGCGCCGAGACTCGGGAGGGCGGCGGCCGGGCGACCCGTCCGTGGGGCCAGGCGCGCCGCCGCGCGGGACGGGGCTCCGTGGGCGGTCTAGACGCTGCCGTCGTCCCCGCCCAAAAAAGCAAAATTAGCCTTCGGTGGAAGTTACCGATCGGACTCTCCGAAGTCAATTCTTGGGCTCTGTAGCTTTTCCCATCTCAGGCCTTTAATTCAAAGCTAAGGTTTGCCCGCTTGAGCTTTGCTGCAACTAAAATTTCAGTTGTTCCCACCTCTGTCGCTTGCATTTTTCTTACGGGTGTCTGAGTCAATACATTTTAGCTCCAGGAGGATTACAAATCAGTTAATCCCTCAAAGTTGGGTAAGGTTGGATGATATATGTATATATATTTTAGCATATTTTTAGTCATTCAGTACTATAAACCTTCATTTAATTCTGAATTCTTTAATCGAGACTTTGTGAAAGTTTGCACCCAGTTTGGCAGAATTTCAAAAGAATGCAGTCAGCCATGGAGACCCTTTAAACTATTTAAATGAAACTATTTCAACCATCATCAAGACTGAAAAGCGACTGTTAAAAGACTTATATACTATCAATGATATGCTGATTGTAAATTATCTACTCACTAAGACAGTGGAAGTAGAGTGAGCTAGTTTAAGCTGGTTTCATTCATACTTTATATTAATGTTGCATATATCAAATATGCAGTTACCATAAAATTAGGAATTTTCACCACCTCTATATTTCACTTAATTGTAGTGGTTTTACTGTGCGCTAAGAAAAAGGCTCATTCTGGGACCTGTATTCCTACCATTTTCTGTAGATCACATCATAGTAGAATACTACTTACTAAAGTAAAAAAAAAAATTCAACAGCCATCTCTTCATAAAACTGTGTGTGTGTGTGTGTGTGTGTGTGTGTGTGTGTGTGTACGTACTAAGGAAAGGAACAGAGAAACATCATAGATTTCTAATTCGACCCAGAACTTTATATTCCAACAAATAATAGCAATTTGAACAATTTTGTTTACTTATTTATAAAAGCCAAAATGAAACAGCTATTTATGGCACACTAGAGATCAAATCTTTGCCCTTACTATGCACTGCTTAATTAGCTTGTAAGCCTTGCTTTCATCATCCATAAAAGGATAGTATTTATTACTTCATAAGATTGTTATAAGACTAAGGTAATTCCTGTAAAGTACTTAACACGGCACTTGGCATGTCTTGTAGTAAGTGCTCCGTAAATGTTATGACTGCTACTGCTAGGAATATTGACCACAGTATTGTGTTTAATAAAGAAAAACAAGTCAAAAGTCACTTACCAACAACAGGGTAATGCTTAAGTAAATCAATCAATGAGATACTGTACAATAAAAATCTTGCTATTAAAGAATATCTAACATCTAGGAACTCTTGAAGCAGTACCTTTTGTCTCTCTAAGTGAAATTTTATAATCTCCTGTTCCTGTAACGTCCTACTATGTCTGAGCAGGGCCACCAACATACTAAACTGTCACAGCTTGACAAACTCCTTCATTCTCCTTCTGTTTGCCCACAAGTTACGTACCTTGACCAAATGTATAAAAGCCAAAACTGTCCTTTGTCCTTTGTTCAGCCATTTTGGATTAATCAGCTGAGGCAATACACACCTAAAAATAAAGTCTCCCTGTTTTTCCCAATTGGTCTCTCCTAATTCTTAAATCATACAACACTTTCAACGTATAATATATGTAAAAGATGGAGAACACTAAATTATATATTGCATTGTTATATAATATGAACCCTAGTTATGATTATGAATGACTTTAATATGTTTTAAATTTTCTGACTTCCCACTTTCTATCATGAACTTGAGAAATAATTTCTACTTGAAAATTTATTCATGGGCCAGGGATATAGCTCAGGAGCATAGGTACCTGCCTGGCGAGTGCAACATCCTGAGTTCAAGTCCTGCTATAAAAAAAAAAAAAAACACATGTTTATTCAGAAAAAATTAACAAAAACATTTATTTATCTAAACCAAGTGTGATGCACAGGCATGTAATCCCAGCACTCTGTGAGACTTGGTAGGCAGATCACAAGTTGAAACCTAGCTTGGATAATTTAGCAAAATCCTGGCTCAAAATAAAAAGAGCTGGAGCTAGGTGTCATGGCAAATGCCTGTAATCCCAGCACTCCAGAAGTTGAGGCAAGAGAATCACTGTGAGTTTGAGGCCAGCCTGGGCTATGAAGTGAGTTTAATTGGACTACATAGTGAAACCCTGTCTCAAAAAGACAAACAACACGAGAAGTTACTTCAAAACATTACCATTTTCAGAAAAAATGACAACCAAAGTATCAGTACTTAAGCTGCTGATTCAAAACAGAGTATGCATTAACCAACTATCTGTATTAAACTAATTTGATAATTCAACATAATTTTAGGACAGAGTAAATATTTGCAAACACCTTGAATTACCTCCACACATGCTCTGTGATCTGCTCTCCAACTAGATTCAAGACTGGGAAAGCCTGCAGTCATTTGTACTAGAACTTAGGAGATATGTGTTATACACAGCAGGACCCTTCTGTTTATTGATAACAAAGAAGCATAGACCTTCTGCTCAGTGAATTGAAACAAAGGAAATGTTTCATGCATTTACTAATAGCTTACACCCCCAACACACACACATAAACATGTACTCTGCTTCCGAAAAGGTATGTGAGATGGCTTGCTGTGAAAGACTTACAGGAAATATCATTAGATGAGAAATTTTTAAAAGGCAAAAACAAATATGCCCCAAATTTGTATATCTGTACTGACTAAACTTTATTTCACAAATATTTTTATTCTTTGTGGGAACCAAAGCTGAAAAAAAATGAGTTTTAAGATTGTGATTGTTTGATTTTTAAAATACATATGGGATTTTTTAAATGGAAACATTTTCATGGAACAATTCTAAACAATGTTTGTCTTTTTTAAAGAATATGGAGCAATATAAACTGCAAAAATAACTTGATGTTGTACTCTGAATGGAACTCTTTCCTCATAGCAGCAAGAGACAAAGAAGATGCCGGGGATATAGCTCAGTGGCACAAGCACCTGCCTGCAAGCACAAGGTCCTGAGTTAGATTCCCAGTGAAAAAAGCAAGACAGAGAGACAGAGAGAGAGAGGCTTCCATTCCAGAGGCCATTTTGGGAAAGGGTTAAGTGTTTAAGACTAAACTACCCTGGTAATCAGAAGCCACGGAACAACTACACTTCAGAGTTGTTGGAGTCCCCCTACTAAAGTAACTGGATCAGAAATGGTCATAAGAAACAGTCACAGAGAGGGTGCAGTTAGACATGGACATCCTGAGAAGTTTATGGTCACATTGGGGAGAACACAGCATTCCTGCCTTCTGTGATGAGAGGCCAATCAACTGTGGTCTTCAGAGAGGGCTGGGTCTGAAAGAGCTGAAATTAAGACCAGAAGATTGAGAAACTCCCTGAGATAGTCAACTTAGAATTCAACATAACAGAGTGGGGAGCCCCAAACAGAGGAAGATGAATTCTCTTGTCCCCGAAGAAATTAAGGCAACTTGCCAACCATCTGAGGTCCCGCTGCAACTGGCCAATGCCGTGACTTGCCAAGGTCCCGCTGCACCTTGCCAGGGTCCTGGCATGACTTGCAACTGGCTGGGGTCCTGCCGCGACTTGCTGAGGTCCCACACGGCTTGTTGAGCCATCCGAGGTCCCATTGCTTCAACTCACTGGAGGCGCAGTTACATTGAGTTCGGAGGTCAGTGAGCTGAATGGAGAGCTGAGTTGGCGGGGAGCCTACATCAACCTGTGGTGAGTGACAGGAGTGGAACCAATCCATAAATAGGGGGCTCTGGCAGACAACATTCTGGCACCGGGCAGGACTGGGAAATACAAGGGGCAGCAGTGACTTCTCTCAGTTGTTCCCATCCCAAACGGGATTGGTGGAGTGAGCTAGGCCTGGGTCACGTGACCTGACTGAGACCCAATAGGTTATCTGTGGTCAAGTCCCTGCAGTGGTGGCGCACACTAACAACACTAACCCAGTGGGGCCTCAGAGGTTTGGATGGTCCAGAAGGGAGGCAGCACAAAATAATATAGTAGTGCAGGCCACAGCAGCTTGACTGATCTGGAGGGGAGGGCCTAGCATACACTATCCCTGTCTGCAACTCACTAGCACACTGCAGTGGGGAGGGTCATCTAGCCAGTGCACTTCAGAAGAATTGTAACCAACAAAGAAAGAAACTGGGGCCTCCTGGAAGAAGCAAAAAAGATGGGAAGAGGAAGCAACAACAAAAAGTCTCTAGATCCCAACCCTGAGAACATTGACCCAGGACAGGTAAATACAAAGGAGAATGAGAACAGCAAACATGCAATGTCAGACACAGTGCCAGTGGACATAAAGAGGTATCTTCGGGACCTCATAGATGAGTTCAAAAGTAAAATATTTAGCAAAATAAAGCAAGATATAAGAAAATTAATTAAAGAGATACTAAGCATCCCTCAAGCAGACACAGACGAAAGAAGGGAGGAACTCAAACACCAGAGAGAACCATTTGGTGAAGAATATAAAAAAGTATATAGAATATATGAAGCAGATTCAAAGAGATCACCAGGAAATTAAAAACTCTATGGAAAGATGGTAAATCAGCTTGAAAGAAACTAAGGATAGATTATCCAAACTGGAGGACAATTTTGCAATGTGGGAATATGAAAGGGAAAAACTTTTAAAAAATAACAAGGAAACAAGCAGTAACAATACAAAGGCTAGAAGATGACAAAAGGA